AAACTGAAAACATGACTTTTTTGACAAATTCAATTCACTTTTTTTCGAATTTTTACAGCTTATAGCAGGCGACTCGACAGCAGTACGTAGATGCCAGTAGGCTCGATGGAAAGGTGAGACATTCAGCTTTCATACGAGTTGTCAATGATGTAATTATCTTCAGGGGTTGTCGAGAAATTCACTAAAATCATAGAAATGTTGTAATTTCGAGGATGCGCAAAAATACAGAAACCTGTAATTACGGGTATGCGCAAAAATACAGAAACCTGTAATTACGCAAAAATACAGAAACCTGTAATTACGGGTATGCGGGAAAAATACAGAAACTTGTAATTGTGAATAAGCGCGAAAATTTAAAAACATGATTGACGATGCGATTGAAAGGTTTTTTCAATTTCTATTGCTCAAAGCAGACCTGCAGACCTATTACAAAATCCCGACAAACAAAATCCCGACAATCGAAATCCCGACAATTGAAATCCCGACATTCGAAATCCCGACATCCGAAATCTCGACAAACGAAATCCCGACAATTGAAATCCCGACAATTGAAATCCCGACAAACGAAATCCCGACAAACAAAATCCCGACAAACAAAATCCCGACAATCGAAATCCCGACAAAATCCCGACAATTGAAATCCCGACATTCAAAATCCCGACAATCGAAATCCCGACAAACAAAATCCCGACATTTGAAATCCCGACAATCGAAATCCCGACAAAATCCCGACAAACAAAATCCCGACATTCAAAATCCCGACAATCGAAATCCCGACAAAATCCCGACATTCGAAATCCCGACATCCAAAATCCCGACAAAATCCCGACAAAAAAAATCCCGACATTCAAAATCCCGACAAACGAAATCCCGACAAACAAAATCCCGACAATTGAAATCCCGACAAACAAAATCCCGACAAAATCCCGACAATTGAAATCCCGACATTCGAAATCCCGACAAACGAAATCCCGACAAAATCCCGACATTTGAAATCCCGACATCCGAAATCTCGACAAACGAAATCCCGACAATTGTTAATAAATCGAAAAGTAATAATCTTTTTTATGATTTTATTGCATAATCAGATGCACGCAAGCGTTGCGTAACTTTTTATGTAACAAAAGTTACGTAATGTTCGTTACGTAACAGAGAAACGACGTTTTTTTCGATTTTTTCCAGTTTTTCATCAATTTCTCGATTTCG